AGTTCAATTGAGTTTTGGGCAAGATTACAGTTCCACTAAACATAACATTGACTTTTAACAAAACTAAAGTACGTAATTTACCAAATATTTTTCAGTTGGCATGAGTTCCAAGTCTAACGAAAAATAGTTAAAGGCCAGTCATATAAAGCGCTCAGCTTTACTTATTTTAGTACTTATATTCTTAACTTTTTTCATCGAATTTTTATGTTCAACCTTCTATTAATTAATATATCTTGTCTTTTTTTATGATTTTATCAAATTATTCTATTTGTGTGTTTTGGAATAAGGAAAAATATTTTGTTGCACTTTTTATATTGATTTTCTAAAAATTACGATGAGCAAATAAGCTGTTTTACGTCCTCTTAATGGACTTTTTTTGGATGGAAATTATTATCAGAGATAAGATGTGTTAACTAATAGAATATTTGGACAAAAATGCAAACAAAATAATTGGGGACATACGTGTTATAATAAGCAAATGTCGAGATCCTTAAATGCAAGTAAAATGTGGTGCACCAAATAAAAATTGTAGTATGAATTAATAATTCATAGTTAAATACTAAAATATTCAATTTTAAAATAAAGACGGGGCCTCAATTTTTGTGTCAAAGAATCCCCGACCGCATCCCATCCACGTTGGCATCACCTGTACACTGGAATATTTCATCAGGAGATTCAGCGATCATTTGCACTCCGATGATCATGTCAACTGTTGGATGGATAAAATATGAGTACAAGAGAGGGAGAGGGGACTTCTCTAAGGTTAGAATGATCCATACATTGACTGTGAAATGGATCACACATATAGAGAAATAAAAATGGGCTAAGTGGAGCTAATAGGCCGAGTTTCAAGCGCAAGATAGGTTCTTTGATTTAATAGGCACAATCCAATTGAATAAACGGGTAAGTATATGTGAGACCCTCTCCGTCATGCGTATGTCAAGTAATTTATAAATATAACAGTGCCACGGGTGGACCCACATTGAGAGAATCCTCTTTCGTCCAAAAACTGAATTTTTTTTGTCACTTCATATTTCATGTGAAATGATCTAAGGGTCCATTTGATTGTGAGAATGAAATTTGGGTGGAAAAAAAATGAATTACAGGGAACTGAATTACCTAGAATTGTTTTCCTAAGAATTGTCAATTAATTGTGTTTGATTGGTATAATTTTTCACTTAAAAAATGTTAAAATATTAGATCTTTTGATATTCGTTTGACTTTATGTTCTATAAAAATTGTCCGTTAAAGAGAATTTTTTTTTTTTACAATTGTCCATAAAATTTGTTTTCATTGTAATAAAAAATAAAAACTGGAAACATTTTCCCATCAAAGTGGTAGGAAAACAAATTCAACAAAAACAAGGAAAATGGACCACGTGTGAGAGAAAAATATCCACCCCCCTCGTGGCCCCTTTTTCCTTATTTTTCTTGAATTGATTTCCAGTCTTCCTGAATATTTATACAAGTCTTAGTGGGAAATGGAATTCCATTTCCCATGGAAAAGAAGGACCTATCAATTGTATAAATATTCAAGAATTAAGATCATAATCCATCGTAAAAACGTGTTAGCTAGTGGTTGAACATCAATTTGTATAGGGTCTTCATCATCATTAAAAATTTATCCACTTAATTCGAAAATCACATAGAAAAATCTGAGTAGTTGTATTATAGCCAACAAAATAACAAACAAATATTTAAATTAAAATAAGCATTATCATTATTCTATTATTGGGGTATTTAACTTCAAGCGAAGGCATGTGTTTTGACCAAGAATCACACAATAAAAATGTGGTAGTCTTAATTTTGTACTCATAGCCGAAGCGTGACGTTTCACTTGTGCCTAGGCCACCTGTTTCATGTAGTAGATTTATGTTATTGAATAATATTATTACGAATAAAGGAGTTAAATTGTTCAATTATACTAAATACGGACTTAAGATCTAATACAATACGGGCAAATTTGAGAAGCATTTGGGTTCCGTGTAGTACACGCTGCCATTTTTGTCACATCGTTCCACGTCATGTTTGAAAGAAAATATTGTAAAAGAATTTTGCTTACTTAGAAATTAAGGAAATTGATTCACATTATTTGACTTGAATGGAAATCGTGTTTTCTTCATAGACCAATATCTTCACCCAATTGACTGTGAAACTCAACTCTTAAGTTGTACGAGACCGTTTCTCCTACTCATTAATTTGAAAAATAATTGTAACATTTAATTTAAGTCAATCCAACGCTCAATATGTATTTCACTAAAATCGTGTGAGAGTTTGTTATAACCACCTGATATCCATAAAATATTGAGCGTTGGATTGACTTAAATTAAATGTCACGATTATTTGTCAAATAAGTGTGTCAAATTAACGAGTAGGATGAACGGTTCCGTAAGTCGTATTGTACGTTCCCAAAGATGTTTTAGGATATATTTGTTTGTGCGGAAATAAAATATTTGTAGAATCCGAAATTCTTTAATGAAAATTTGGAAATTGTTTACGAGAATTTCTCACACGTTATCAACAAATAAATTTCATTTGATAGTTGTATTATAGCCAACAAAATAACAAACAAATATTTAAATTAAAATAAGCATTATCATTATTCTATTATTGGGGTATTTAACTTCAAGCGAAGGCATGTGTTTTGACCAAGAATCACACAATAAAAAAAAAAGTTGTAAAATGTATAAAGCGTGATTAAACGTGGAGGTCAAGTTTCGAGCTTTATGGATCTAAGCGTAAAAGAAGAGTTTTCTTATTTTTAATATTATTATTAAATTTTAATAATTATAAGAATTATTTTATAAATAAAATAATATATACCAAACATCTAAAATTGTAAAATATTATATTTATTTAATAATTCCTACCGCTAGTCATATATACAATTTTTAAGTTTTCAAAATGCAAACGCTAGATTATTTTTTATAGTTTCAACTTTCAACTAGTTAATGTACTATATATCATCAATATCTACCAAATATTCAATAATCTTTATTTCGAAATCAAATGAACTAGTTAATGTACCGTCTTCAATTTTCACTAAATTCAAATTTCTTACTTGAACCCGTTGAGGAAGGCAGATTGGATTTGGAGCACTCGAACTTCATTGTTTTTCAATTTTCCTTTCCCCATTGTTTTGTTTGAAATTTTTTAACGTATTTTTATTTTTGACTTTTTTTACAGATAAAACTTTTCATTTAAAAAACTTGCAACTAAAGTCAAATCAAAGATTTTTTTAAATAGAAAAATAAATAAAAACTAACAAAATTTAATAAAGTGCAACTAGGCTGTTGACGGCTTAATTTTGTAATCATAGCCGAAGCGTGACGTTTCACTTGTGCCTAGGCCACCAGGCGCAAATGAAATTACCTTTGGCCTGTTTCATGTAGTAGATTTATGTTATTGAATAATATTATTACGAATAAAGGAGTTAAATTGTTCAATTATACTAAATACGGACTTAAGATCTAATACAATACGGGCAAATTTGAGAAGCATTTGGGTTCCGTGTAGTACACGCTGCCATTTTTGTCACATCGTTCCACGTCATGTTTGAAAGAAAATATTGTAAAAGAATTTTGCTTACTTAGAAATTAAGGAAATTGATTCACATTATTTGACTTGAATGGAAATCGTGTTTTCTTCATAGACCAATATCTTCACCCAATTGACTGTGAAACTCAACTCTTAAGTTGTACGAGACCGTTTCTCCTACTCATTAATTTGAAAAATAATTGTAACATTTAATTTAAGTCAATCCAACGCTCAATATGTATTTCACTAAAATCGTGTGAGAGTTTGTTATAACCACTTGATATCCATAAAATATTGAGCGTTGAATTAATTTAAATTAAAGGTCACGATTATTTGTCAAATAAGTGTGTCAAATTAACGAGTAGGATGAACAGTTCCGTAAGTCGTATTGTACGTTCCCAAAGATGTTTTAGGATATATTTGTTTGTGCGGAAATAAAATATTTGTAGAATCCGAAATTTTTTAATGAAAATTTGGAAATTGTTTACGAGAATTTCTCACACATGTTATCAACAAATAAATTTCATTTGCTTTGACTATACTTGCATTCTAGTTCAATCAAGTCAATAGGGTAGCTATTCTTTAATTTGATTTCAATTGGGTAATTCTTTTTAATTTCGTTACTTGAACTGACGGAAATCGATAACACAACAGTCAATAAATGGTGTAAGTCATTTACTTTTATAAATATGTATTTATTTCATGTTAGCACCTAGCATTTACGTATATTGTTTCATCATCGATTATTGTTAGTGAAATTAGACAAAGTTACTTTAACTGAAATCAAATTAAAATGTAGTTATCCGGCTGTAATCAAATTAAGTAATAAAATGTGTAATTAAAAAGCTCATAAAAATTATGTAGTTAAAATTAATTATTGATTTTGACCCCAACTTTTTAAGTTTTTCCAAACAAGTAATATATCGAAATAGAAATCAACATATAAGGGTTTTATATAAATTTATATTGGCCGCCATGCATATTTAGAATTTTTGGAAATATTCCAAATTAGTCAAATATCTAATCAAGACATATAATTTTTCCAGTAGGTAAGACTTCATGATCAAGACTTTTTCCTCTGAAAATGTCATTACTGTGGTAGGCTGTAACATATCCCAATCTCACAAAAATATATTTTACAATTGATTCAGAAAAATAAAACTATTTTAATAGGAAATGACAGAATATGGAGGTTTGACCTAATTTTTTTTTTTTTATTTGCATTAGTTTCAATTATTGAGGCTGGAATATGAACATAACATTAGATAATTACACCATGTGAAATTCTGACTAGCTTCAAAGTGCAGAATTGGTTATTCCTTCCACACTGCTATTTATTGAAGATAACAAATTACTTCAGCATTTGACAATATTTGGGTCCTGGAAGGAGAATGGAAGGATATATCACAAAGAATCTACATTTTATCCTATGACATACAATTGAAATACGAAACAAATTAGAAAATGAAGAAATCAGGAGCTGGTTCATCTGTTATGATTATCATTCTGGTTAATCTGCTACTACCAGATGCATCATTGGGGGAGCCAAGAGCTCAGGTGGTTGAGTTAATGTGCGGGAACCAAACTTCGCCCGACCCCACCATTCCTATGGCAAACTTCATTGTCACAATGGAAAACGTAAGTGAACAATTGCGAATTTCAGGCTTTGGCATAGCAGGAACAGGCTCAGGACCTGATGCTAATTATGGACTGGCGCAATGTTCTGGTGATCTTTCTTTACTTGATTGTGTCTTATGCTACACTGAAGCACGCTCTACTCTTCCTCAGTGCTTTCCTGGCCATAGTGGAAGGGTTTTCCTCGATGGCTGCTTCATGCGAACTGAGAATTACAGTTTCTTTCAAGAGTATACTGGACCTAATGACAAGGCTATCTGTGGGAATAGAACTCGAAAGAATTCTGTATTTCAGATATCAGCCCGACAGGCTATGTTACAGGCAGTTTCAGCAGCACCAAATAATAATGGCTATGCAAGGGCTCAAGTGGCAGTGTCTGGGACAACAAATGAGTCAGCTTATGTTCTTGCCGACTGCTGGAGGTCACTGAGTGCTAGCTCTTGTAGAGCTTGTTTGGAAAATGCGTCTGCATCTATATTGGGATGCTTGCCATGGTCCGAGGGTCGGGCACTGAATACAGGGTGCTTTGTTAGGTATTCTGACACCAACTTTCTTAATCCTATTCTGGGAAATGGAAGTTCAAGAGGTAAAAAAGAGCTTTATGATCTTTCCCCTGGCATTTCTATAAAAAAATTCACCCCTTCTCATTATGCCAGCACTTACGGTTTCAAGTTTGAACTTTCTTTCTTCTGTTCCTTTTCTTTCTGTTTCATCCCGTTGGGACTTGAGTTCACACAGGAGGAGAAGCCTCAATCCTTATAAATTGAAGAACATCCCTATGTCTAGCCGATATGGGACTTTTGTTCACCCTTTCCCAACACTTCTATCTTTGAATATTGTAAATTCTTATTATGTCGTTAAAACTTTCATTTTGTACCAATCTAGCTCGATGATGCATTTTTCAACTGACTTTTTCAGGAACAATAACAATTATAGTGGCAGCTATTGGTTCCGTAGTTCTTTTGGTTATTGGAACATTCATTGGAGTTTATATATGGAAGCAAAGAACAATACATAAGAAGAGAATAGGTAGACTGCATTTACTATATGTTTGCTCTGCATCACGTTGAACCTTACCATAATCAAAAGATTTGCGAATGATCTTCAAGCACTCAATGTTATGATAATTGGGTAGAATACGGTCTTTGAACATTATTGATGACATATTTGATGGTCTCATCTCTTCCCAGGTTCGTTTGATGCAGAGAAACTGGCGAAGACCCTTCATCATAGCAGCATGAACTTCAAATATTCTACACTTGAGAAAGCAACTGATTCTTTTGATGATGCCAACAAGCTTGGACAAGGTGGATTTGCCACAGTGTATAAGGTTGTAATTCTGCAGACATGTATAATCTACAAAATTCTGGGAAATAGGAAGTATCATCATTGATTGGTGTCTAAGCTAAAAATTTATGTTATTGCAGGGAGTTTTGCAAGATGGTAGAGATATTGCTGTAAAGAGGCTTTTTTTCAACAATAAACATAGAGCAGCAGATTTCTACAACGAAGTCAATATTATTAGCAGTATTGAGCACAAAAATCTGGTTAGGTTGTTGGGATGCAGTTGTTTGGGACCTGAAAGTCTTCTTGTATACGAATTTTTACCAAACAAGAGTCTTGATAGATTTATCTTTGGTAAGTACTACATTTCAAATTCAGGGTGAAACATTATCTTGCCGGTTTAGAACAATGATTATGCATTACCTTTACTAATCTGTGTTTGGCAGTGATAACATAAATGTATTTATGCTGTTATATTGAATTTGACAGATCCAATAAGAGGGAAAGAACTAAATTGGGAGAAGAGATTTCAGATTATTAAAGGGACTGCAGAAGGGTTGGTCTACCTTCATGAAAACACGAAAACTGGAATCATTCACAGAGACGTAAAAGCGAGTAATATCCTCCTGGACTTCAAATTTCGCGCTAAAATTGCTGATTTTGGGTTGGCTAGGTGTTTCGAAGAAGATAAAAGTCATATTAGTACCGCCATAGCAGGAACATTGTAAGTATTATCATCTTCTTCATCCTGCATCCTCGAGTGACCAAAAGTCAAAGATTATCAAATCTGATTAATCCCTCTCAAGATAAAAGCTAATATAGAAACTGTATTAGCAAATTAATCTCACAAATTATCTTGAATTTCTAAATTTGCAGAGGATATATGGCTCCAGAGTACTTAGCCCGTGGCCAGTTAACAGAAAAGGCAGACGTGTATAGCTTTGGTGTACTTCTTCTTGAAATTGTCACAGGGAGACAGAACAACATGAGCAAAGAATCTGAGTACTCAGTCAGCTTGTTAACTACTGTAAGTTCACAATCTTTTTCATTTTTTGGTCAGTACTTTGATTTCTTTTATAAACATAGAATCATTTTCAATGTTGAGATGAACTTCCATTTATTAAAGTTTCCTTAGTTTCGCAAGTTCCATAATCACATACGTATTCTGTTCAATGTAATTCTAAATCTTGGCATTGGTTTTGAGGAGTTCATCTATGTTTCAACATCTTACTCGGCATATCACTTTTCATTTTGCCTTAACTGTAACATTATTTTGGCTGAAAACAGGCATGGAATCACTTTCAGGAAAACAAAGTAGACAGTCTGTTCGACCCAAACTTGATGCTGGATAACTATCATAACCCGGATGTTCAAAAGGAGATTCTAAGGGTTGTTCATGTCGGGCTCTTGTGCACTCAAGAAATCTCGTCTCTTCGACCATCCATGTCTATAGTCCTAGAGATGGTGGTAAAAGAAGAAGAGCAACTCCCCGAGCCAACTAATCCCCCTTACTTATACGAGACCATGGAACTTAATGATCCACGCGAAGAACAATTTTCACCATTCAATTATGGAAAGCCTGAATCAATCACTACCGTTTCGCAGAGTATTTTCTATCCCAGATGACATTAACATCGATATTATTCCGATAATACACAGACTACTAAAAAGCTTTGAGTAGTAGTCTCCTATCTATGTAAATACTAACACTCATCTTATTTGGCATATTCTCTTCGTTACTACCATCGAAAAGTTACAATTTCACTTTCTGTAATTAATACAAGTCTGTCTGCTACTAACTTTGAATCAACTCAAAAGTTGCCGCTGGGATGACTTCAGGAGGTAAAAAATCAAGAAACCCGGTGGAGATACAAAAAATCTAAAAATTACATACTAAATTTGCTAAATTATTTAAGCGATCAACGTTGTTGTTCAGGATTACGTATAAGGTGTCATGAATTTTGTCAACTTATGGGATTTTTGTTGCGTTTTTTATATCGCAAGTGTACGATATTATAACAAGCTGTATAGTGGACCCCTGAGTCCGGATATCGTTCACACGAAGATTATATTTTAGAATTTAATCTAATTTTTCTAACTCATATTTGACAAAACCGAGTAAATAATTATGATGATTGTGATTATTCTTCCTAACTATTTTTAACTAATTGAAAATATAAAGTGATTGCAAACAATGGATATCACCAAAAATTGATAAAAACGTGAAAATTTCTGGTGTTTATAGTCTCCTTTCCTTTCCTTTTATCTTTTCCTTATTTTCTTTCTTCCTCTTTTCTGCCCTTTTTTTCTTCCTCCCGCCTTTGACTTTTTCCATTTTTTCTCCTTTTTCTTTCCCGTGTTGTTTTTCTTCACTGTTTTCTTTTGTGCAGCACCGCAGTTCTCTTTTTTGTTTTCCTTCGTCCCCCCTTTTCTCTCTCCCTCTCTCTCTTTGTTTCTGTCTGCTGCCTTTTTTAAAAAACTTTTCCACCTTTTTTATCTTTTTCGCTTTCCTTTGGTTTTTCTTCCCTTCAGCACCGTAGCTTGTTTTCTGTTTTTCTTCCCTGCGGCGTCTCTGTCCTCTTTCCCCCCCTATATGTGTGTGTGTTTAATTTGGGCCCCCAATTGAAATTTTCAATGCAAGTCTATTGAAACCCATTTAACTTGAACATATTTAATGTAATATTTCTCTCCAAGGTTTTATCTTTGGATTTTTTCATTTTTCGCCACTTTTGCATTCTTTTCTCAAATTCTTCATTAAACATAAAGTTTTACCTATAAAATACAATATAACATAAATTAGGTAGAATTTTATCCAAAAAACAATAAAACATCATGATTTAGGGTCTCGAATAAGTGTAAAAATTACACTTATCATACCCCCAAACTTGAATCTTTGTTTGTCGTCCTCAAACAAAACTAAAATCTAACAAGCACACAAACAAGCAATACTAATTACCTAATTGGTGGTCAGTCAATCAAGTAAAGCAATCAATCAAGTTAAGCAACAAGATTTAGTTAGCTAACTTGGTTTTTTATCTCAGGATAGAACTCATGATAACAAATCTATGCACAGTGTTAAAATCACAATACAAAAATTAAAATTCGTGTTTCTAATGTAAAATTGACGTGTGTGAAAAATTAAGTATAACATTATGAATTCATAAGTTATTTCAATTTCCGACCCTCAATGATCAAATATGTTCTTTCATCACTCGCAAGATTCACATACCCCCAACTTATTATTTTTATTATTTTTCAATGTGTGAACTAAGGTTGAATTTTTTTACTATCATCACCTCTGTAGTTTGGTAAAATTTCACCAATTGCAGTTCCACAATTCAATAAATAAGGATTCTCCATTAAATTTGATTGCTTTAATTTTTAGGACTTAACTTGACTAACAATCTCTTATCAAAAGTCTAATTTTCTTAAACAAGTGTTTGAAACTTAACAAAGGCATTGGCGCGTCTTTGTTTCATGCACCTACTTTTTCTGAATTTTTTTAGAATAATTTTTTTCTTTATTTGAAGTATTCTCTCTATTCAACTTTCTAAATGACCCGTGTAACAAGATTTCGTCCGGTGACTCCCAAATCAAATGATCATAGGTTACTAGGTTTTAAAGATTGTAGTCTTAATTGCTCGAGTCATAAAAGCTACAAAGAGAAAATTTCTAATAAAATATTTTTTTATGCATTGATTAGCGCAATGTCCCTAATTTAACACCAATTCAAGTAAAACGACATTTAACTTGAGATTTTCACCCAATTACATCATATTGACCTTAGACAATCCACACAAAAATTTAATTTTATACATGGAATCCCTAATTATCTCAACATCTTCCTACAACAGTGAAATCCCTCCAACTATTCCACATTTGGTCAAAGAATGTAAAATTTAGTGGTTTTTGGTTTAGCATCTATGGTCCACTATTCGACGTGTGTAATTATGAAATCAACTCATTCATACACCATATTTGACTTAATTCATGTGTTATATATATATATATATATCAAATTTTCACATGAAAAAACAAAATTAATTTAAGTATGCAACTTATTCATTATCCATGATTAAATATATTCATCATTGTCAACTAGGTCAATTAATTCACACAAGCATACAAAAAGAAATTTTTTTATGAATTGTTTTTACTAAAACAATAAAAATACACCAAAACACTTTTAAAAAAAAATGAAAACTCATGTTTTCCACCCCCAAACATGTTTCCCCTTTTTCTCTTCTCTTTCTTCTTTTTATTTCCTGTGTTCTTTTTCTTCTTTGTTTTTCTCTACGCAGCGCGACAGTTCTCTTTTTTGTTTTCCTTCGTCCCCCCTTTTCTCTCTCCCTCTCTACTCCAATTAAAATTTTCAATGCATGTCTATTGAGATCCATTTAACTCGAACCCATAATATTTCTCTCCAAGGTTTCGTCTTTGGACTTTGCAATTTTTCGCCACTTTTGCATTATTTTCTCTAATTCTTCATTAAACATAAAATTTTGCCTACAAAATACAATAGAATTTTATCCAAAAGATAATAAAATATCATGATTTAGGGTCTCGAACAAGTGTAAAAACTACACACATCAATGCTATTTGCTCAACGTTGGATTTCTTTTTGGGATTCTATTGCTATCTTGATTTTTGTCAAAAAAAAATTCAGAGGATTACCCGTAAGATTTAAATATAGTACAAAATAACCTAGAAGAGGTCGAATACACATTGTTAAGCTCAACCTATTGAATGTAAAGACACTTTCAATTGTTCAACTTTGTAGCATGCAAAACATAATTGGGTAAACACCTTATTTAATATTCCCAATTAACATTTTAACACATTTTTTAACTTGAGAATAAACATGTACAATTGCAGAAATAGTGGTAAATAAAAGTTAAAATAATATTGTAATTAAGAAAGCCAGTAAACAAGCATCTCCAATGCAACTGTGAACTACTATAATTTTTTTAGCCACATTGGCATAATAGACAGTGGTTCAAAAAATTTCCTCTCTACTACGATAAGTCAAGAACTCTGTTAGGCTCGTGGCATAAAAAATTACAGTGATGAAATACAAAAGGAGCTAAGATCTTTCTGATAGTGCCTCGTTGAATCATCACCTTTGCCAACTTTTTCATGCTATCTTGTAATCTTGGAGCTTGACTGGAGAACACTACATGTGGCAGTGCTTCTCCTGTCCATGTTTAGCCTTGAACTGGAAATAATATGTTTTTATTGCTCTTTTTTTTCCAATTTGTCAACAATCTTCATTGCATCTGCAAAGTCATGACCATATGTGGAAAAGAAGCCAAACATTCAACTAATATATCAACTACATGTTGTACTATCAACATTTGTTGGGTTTTGATACCCAATAAATACCGGACAATGATGTTAAACCGTTGGATTATACTTCATAGGCCTCAGCCAATGAGTGATACCGACCTAAACCTATTACCTAATTGGGACATTGGAAGTAGTTTAATTTAATTAGAGCTACTCATGGCCCAACCCATTATCCATTGGACGACTTTTGGTTGATAGCCCATTTACCACGACCTATTTGTTCTTGGGCCTAACTATTGTCTAACCTAAAATCCCACTACTTTGTATATATGTTGACCCCCATTTTTTGGCTTGGGGGTGTGTGTGAAAGTGTGTTATTGGCTGCCCCTTTTTGAGTGAAAACAAGCTGCTTCGCTTCGTGCCTCTGCTTTCTGTCTTCTATGTTGTCTCTCGTTTTTCATTCTCTTTAGCCTTTGTGGCTACTATTGTGGTTGCAATATATCACTCCATACCATGTCCTTGGTGGGTATATACCAAACAACTGGGATCGTGGTGATTGTAGGTTGGTTTTAAGTGTTGGAACTTTGTGGTATCGATTTGGTATTCATATGAAATACTGAGCCTGAAAATCTTGGAGTCAATATTCCGCTCAACATTTGGTGTCAGAGCCTTAGTAGCATGGTTTGAAAGTTCTGGCTAAGACCAGACTGGCTGGAGAAAGCTAATTCAAGTTCCGTTCGCAATTTCTGGCCAAACCAGTGTCCGTTTGCTAAATCCAATACCACGGGGAGCTTTTGCAAGTGAAGGCGCACCTGGGTCCACCGCGCATGGTGGTGACCGCCGCAACTGGCGACTGCGCATGACAGTTCTAGCAGTGACTCATGGAGGCGCGTCGGGCGTGGTCTAGGGAGAATTTCTTCAGGTAGAATTTTTCTAACGTGATTTCTAACGATTTGGTGGTGTTAGTTTTTTGTTTTAGGTTATAAGGTGAAAATTGGACGAATTTGCCCCTGAGCGTTTGTGATTCAGTTCGGTGTTCGATTGGTTGCTACAGTTGTTGGAGACTTTAGAGCGAATAATGGTGGCCCTAAAGTAATAAATTCACACATCTCGTTATTTACGAACTCAGATTGGCCCGCTCTGATATATTAGTTTATCCCAAAATTTAAATTTCAGCATTAGTGCATTATCGTGTGGGGTGACAATAGGTTTGGGATTACCGTGTGGGTTAACCATTACTTGTGCTAGAAATTTAGGAATTATTTACCATATTTGAAATGTTGGACTTAACTGTAAGTTGATAATTGCTTTTTTGTTTAATTATCTGTATTGCGTGAGAATTTGATTTTTTTGTTAATATACCTTCGTGGTCCATTGATTATTCCATTAGAACACCTAAACTTGATTCGTTTGAACATTCATTTGATCTGAGATCTTGAGTATCACAAAACCTTGAGAATTTAGAACGGTGTATATTGTTGCCTTAAGATTACTTTGTGTGATTTATTTGTGTTTTTGGTTTTTTTTTTTTTTTTTCCAAAATGTCTTTACATTTGGAAGTTGGAATTTCAATAAGAAATAAGACTTTTCAATTTGGCAACAAAAGATGAAGGGGATTTTGGTTTAACAAAAAAATTCAAATGCAATAGATGACAAATTTCTTGCAAATTTAACAGAAGTACAAAAAGAAAAATATGATAAACTTGCTTACACTTCAATTATTTTACACTATCTGACAGTGTTTTGAGTAAAGTTGAGTAAAAACACCTTAACACCCGAGATTGTCATAAATTCCCTTAGGAGTAAGGAGATAGAGATTAAAGTCGAAAAAGAGAATAAGAGAAGTGGTAAATTGCATGTGATGATGAGTAGAATGAAGTTTAAGCAGATGAATTTAGGTAGAGCTCAAGACAATGGTGATTAGAGTAGTGACTCAAGTGATGAGGTTGGTAAGAAGAAAGGCAAGAGATGGGACGANTGGTAAGAAGAAAGGCAAGAGATGGGACGAGTCTAGTGGTAGAAGGTTTGTGGTAAGGTTGGGCACTTTATTAGGGACTGTCCCAAGAAAAAGGATGAGCAGAAGGGTAAGTTGAGAGACGAGACGAATGTGGTTATAAGGTCGAGTGATGACCCTAATGAGGTTTATTGAGAATAAACCTAGTTATTGCATATACATTTGTGTGTAATCCTTTCTGCATGTGTGTGATTACTTAATTTTGTTGCATGGTTATATGTGCATTTCAATGTGTTTGATATGTGCATTTGCATGAATTTGAGAGCAATTAATCACTTGGTATAATTGTTTGCATGCATAGTGGGTTAAGATGCATTAGTAATGTGTTGTATGTCTTTTGATGAGATGATTTATAGATGTCTAGAGGAACATTGGTGGTTTGTACCGGGGATGTGAAGTGTGACATTTGGATCACAAGTGGAGATGTGATTAAAGGTTGAAATTCTTTATCTGTAAAGAGACCTTAATCAGGCGGAGTGTTAGAGAGACGCTTCTATCACTTCTATTAGTTGGAGACCCATTATCCATTTAGGTTTGGAGAAGTGATGTGGTGATAGAGGATTATCCTAAGAACTTAAGATTTATAGAGATCTACCAGTTGGATATGTGTTGAGTGATTAGTTTAGTGAGCATAATGGGCGATGATGTGAGATACGTGTTTTCGAGGTGTGAGCAACACAGAATGAGATAGGATAAGTGTGGTGAGATCTTTTCGTAGTGGTCATTTATGCATTTGTTGCATATGTGTTGACCGTTGCTTGATTAACTTGGTGTTAATATGTTATTTTGTGTGAACTTTTTTAATGATCTTTGTTATCTTATATGATATCTCCATCGCATGATTACTGTGATTATTTGTTCCTACTTGGGTTTTTTTTGTGTCCTAAGCTTTGATTAGTACATGGAGCAGATATGGTATGTGTTTCGGGTCCGAAACATGAGGTAAGGTCTGTGATTCCAAGTTTATTGGTTGCCTTGGTTATGCAAACTTTAACTCTGTGTTTTGATTACTTGCAGATTGATTGGGTATCAATGTGCAAATTCGTTAGGTTTTGATATCCAATAAATCTCGGGCAATGATGTTAAACTGTTCAGATTATACTTCATAGGTCTCGGCCGATGAATGAAATAAAATATCGACACCACGGTTGTACCGACCTAAACCTATAACCTAATCGGATAATTGGAAGTGGCCTAATTTAATTAGAACTACTTATGTCTCAACCCATTATCCATTGGACGACTTTTTGTTGATAGCCTATTTACTACTACCTATTTGTTCTTGGGCCTAACTATTGTCTAACCTAAAAGCCCACTACTATGTATATATGTTGACCCCCATTTATGGGTTTGTGGATGTGTGAAAGTGTGTTATTGGCTACCATTTTTTAGTGAAAAATAGGCTACTTTGCTTCGTGCCTTCTACGTTCTGTCTTTCGCGTTCTCTCTCATTTTTCATTCTCTTCAGCCTTTGTGGCTACTATTGTGGTTGCAATATATCACTTCATACCATGTCCTTTGTGGACATATACCAAGCAACTGGGATTGTGGTGATTGTAGATTGCTTTTGTGTGTTGGAACTTTGTGGTGCCGATTCGGTATTCATATGAAATACTTGTTATCGAAAATTCGACTAACGTAATCGAAAGAACAAATAAAAATAACAAAGAAATAAAAGCAGAAGATGAAGCAGAACAAATAAAAGAGCAGGAAAAACGGAAAAAAGAAGATGATGAAGCGAGGTATGCCATAACTAATCTCCTTAAGACAGATTTTGCCCCCCATCAACGTGCAAACGAGATTATGGACGTCTGTCTCCCAAGATATAACACTTCTTCCAAAGTCGATACTACACAATACCAACCTTGTCGATTGAACCAAAGAATGAACGTACTCGATCGGAATAACCACGAAAATATTGAAGGAATTTTTACAGAATATGGAGAGAGGATGAATGTAGAAATCAAGAATATATTAATTCATTTGGTGTACAAAAAACGAATTTGAAAGTCTCTATTTATAGAGATTGAACTGTCTCATTGAATGGGTGTGCGATATTTCATGAACTGGTGCACCACTTGATTTGATAAGTTTTAGCCATTGGATCTCATTGTTTCATGATCTGATGGCCCAGATTTAACCATGAAGTGTAGTGTCCATTCATCATGCCTATTTACCAATTTCTGAATAGTCACCAGCCATGCAGATGCCATGCGTACGTCCAATTGAACCAACGCCACGCATGACGAAGTGACACAAACTGTTACGTGTATGCCACTTAGGATGCCAACTCACCGAACCTCATGTTGCCATGTCATCGAACCATGAGTCCACTTCTGAAAATTTTAAGGCTCCACAGCTCCTCGCGACGATGCACGTCTAAAGCGCCCATGCGAACTTTGTGACGTGCATGAGCTGAAGCCGGGGACGGGGTTATCAATTTATTGGCATATATTGGAGACTTTTCCAATTCATCCAAATTAATTGCAATGGCCCACATAATTAAATATCACATTTAATTATTTAACACTTTATCAATTAATTCCAACAATCCCCCACATGAATGGAAGAAGTCGACTCAAATCAAGGAAGAAGAAAGAAGAGTACTATCTGAAAGATAACGCATCAAGATAGGAAAACTTTCGATGTGGGATTACTTACCATATATAAGACACTTAAAATTGGGCTTATTAACTTATGTGCTTATATTGGAGACTTATCCAATTCACCCAAATTAATAATAATGGCCCACATAATTAAATATCACATTTAATTATTTAACACCTTATCAATTAATTCCAACAATATTGAGCTCCGTAATCTTGGAGTCAATATTATGCTCAACAACCTTCTTTCCAGGCCGATACGTTGGTTCTGCTGGTGCATCATCTCTACAATCTCCGGCCTTGCTCCATGTGCACCAATTGGTATACCACCTCCAGTAATGTTTTCAAGTGTTGTTAAATCAGGAGTTGTACAAAAATGTTCATTGCAATTATCTTGAACTTTCAGTGCGGCCACATGAGGCATTTCTTTGCAATTTGCTACAACACTTTGAGCATTCAACGAGACCAAGACATCTCTACTTCGACACAGGTTTTGAGCACAAGAATTTCCAGCATCGCCTTTGGGCCCCAATTTTGCTTCCAACACCTTTACCGTCTCATTTATCGTGCAAATAATTTCCTTTTGCCCCATAGCAATAGACTCTACCATTTTTTCCATACACTCTAGCCATTGCTCCTCCATTACAAGGATTTGTTTCTTGCTTGGCTCTGATATCACTTGATAGGTTCCCTTTTCAGTTAAAAATAAATAAATAATAATAATAATAATAATAATATATAGGAAACTAAACCTCCAATATGATGATTTCATGTGTTCAAAGACTAACTAAATGTGTGTTTTAATCAAAGTAGGGTTTTTCATAGAAAAAGTTGTACAATTAGTCATTCATCTATGGACAATGTTGCAACTTTTTCTTGGTCCCCACTTGTTTGGCACCATCGTCTCAAACATCACGTAGAACGCCAAAGACAACTTCAAAATAATACATCAAGCAATATTATAAATTTACATAATTGAAAAGGTCAACAAAATAATAAAAAATGAACATCAACGTGTTTTTCTTTGTAGGGTAATAGAAATCATTTTCAGTCAAACAGTTCACATTACCTTTGAAAGAAAATTTTATATAAAGAAATATGCCCACTAACAACTTTAGCTAGTGGAAGACTAGAAAATTGATCAACCTTTCTTTTCATCTAAAAATAAATATCGTTACCCAATAATATCGATCTCCAGCTATACATTATAGTATGAAATTCTTAATTTTCACTGTAATGGTCTACAATGTTTGCCTACCTAGCTTTTATTTCTTTAGAATAGAATATTTGGTTCATGAACCGTGGGGGTGGAAAGGTCAGGGATATATTAAAAGAATATAGAGTTAACCCTATAACATACATTGAAACACAAAACAAATTGGAAAATGAAGAAATCAAGTGCTGGTTCATCTGTTATCATTATTGCTCTGGTTAATCTGCTGCTACTACCAAATGCATCGTTGGGGGATCCAAGAGCTCAGGTGTCTAAGATTATGTGCGGGAACCAAATTGCGATAAACAACACCAATTTTATCCAAAACTTTGTGTCAACAATGGAAAATCTAAGTGCCCAATTGCCAACTTCAAGTTTTGGTATAGCAGAATCAGGCTCAGGAGTTGACACGGATCATGGACTTGTACAGTGCTATGGTGATCTTTCTTCAACTGAATGTGTATTATGCTTCGCTCAAGCGCGCACTATTATGCCTCGATGCTACCCTTTCAACAGCGCAAAGGTTTTCCTTGATGGCTGCTTTTTGCGAACTGAGATTTACAGTTTCTTTCAGGAGTATACTGGACCAAACGACATTGCTGTCTGTAATAATAGTACCAGAAAGAATTCGGCATTTCAGGCATCAGCTAGACAGGCTGTGTCACAGGCAGTTTCAAAAGCACTAAACAACAGTGGCTATGGACGGGCTCAAGTGCCCGTGGCTGGGACATTAAATGAGTCCGCTTATGTTCTTGCTAACTGCTGGAGAACACTAAGTGATAGTTCTTGCAGAGCTTGTATTGAAAATGCGTCTGCATCTATATTGGGATGTTTGCCATGGTCCGAGGGTCGGGCACTGTACACAGGGTGCTTTATGAGGTACTCAGACACCAACTTTCTTAATCCTATACCGGGAAACAGAAGTTCAACAGGTAAAAACAGCTTTATGTTCTTCTCCCTAGCATTTCTACAGTAATTTTCATCTCTTCTCATTCTGCCGGCACTTACAGTTTCAAGGTTGAACTTTCTTCCTTCCGATCCCTTTCACTGTAATTGTTTCTATTGAGACTTGGCACTCCAATTTTCAATATTCCTTTTTATTTCACATCAAACGAATGATATCTTCTTCTGAAAATCCTAGTTATTCTTATCATGATATTGGGAAATATCCTATTAGAAGGAGTAGCCACATGTTCTTATAAACAAAAGACCATTTCCATTTTACTAACGGATGAGAGAGTTTTGTTGGCACTTAACCTACACTTCTCTCTTTAAATTTTAGAAATTCTTACTGTGTTTCTTAAGAAGCTAAAACTTCATTTCAATCTAGCTAGATCATGCATTTTCAACTGACTTCTGCAGGGAAAACAGAAATTATAATAGTGGCAGCTGTTAGTTTGACCGTTGTTTTGATTATTGGAGCAGTCCTTGGAGTTTATATTTCGAAGCGCAGAACAATACAGAAGAAGAGAAAAGGTAGAATGCATTTTGCCTATATTTGTATGAGATGACAACTGTAAAAGTCAGTTATTGAATCATATGTGAAATTACTGTATATGAGAATAGTCAGAAATGCTGCACCTTTTTTCATCTTTTTCCTAAAGTTTCTCTACTTTCCCAGGTTGGGATGATCCTAAAGAACTAGTGAAGACCCTTCATGACAGCAGCTTGAACTTCAAATATTCCACACTTGAAAAAGCAACTGATTATTTTAATGAAGCCAACAAGCTTGGGCAAGGTGGATTTGCCACAGTGTATAAGGTCGGTTTTTTAATTAAAACACCATTAAAGCCTGGGCGGGATTGCCACAGTGCAAGGTCGCTAGTCTGCACACTTATAATCTACACAATTATAGGAAATCAAACCCACTATTATAGAGTGATGTCTAAGCGAAATTTTCTTGTCGTTGCAGGGAGTTTTGCAAGATGGAAGAGAGATTGCCGTCAAGAGGCTTTTCTTTCACAATAAACAAAGAGCAGCAAATTTCTACAATGAAGTCAACATTATTAGTAGCATCGAGCACAAAAATCTGGTCAGGTTGTTGGGATGCAGTTGCTCTGGACCTGAAAGTCTTCTTGTATATGAATTTTTACCAAACAAGAGTCTTGATTGCTTTATATTTGGTAGGTAGTACATTTCTAATTTTAGTTAACCATGAATAGAATTTCTACAATGATTAGCATTACTTTTTCTATCTGTGTTAGGTAGTGAGAAAATTGATGCGCTGTTGTTATTTTTAATTTGACAGATTCAAGGAAAGGTAAAGAACTAAACTGGGAGAAGAGATATGAGATAATTATAGGGACTGCAGAAGGGTTGGTTTTCCTCCACGAAAACACAAAAACCAAAATCGTTCACAGAGACATCAAAGCAAGTAATATCCTCTTAGACTCGAGATTCCGTGCTCAAATTGCCGATTTTGGTTTGGCCAGGTCTTTTCAAGACGATAAAAGTCATATTAGCACTGTCATTGCAGGAACATTGTGAGTTTTTGTCATTTTATCCATACTCCAGTGACCAAAATTGAAAGCTTAGCAAGTCTATGATTAATGATTTCAAAATAAAAGCTGATTTAGAATCTTCTTAGAAAATTGATCTAATAATTGATCTTGAATTTACAAATATGCAGAGGATATATGGCTCCAGAGTATGTAGCCCATGGCCAATTAACGGAAAAAGCAGATGTGTATGGCTTTGGTGTACTTCTGCTTGAAATTGTCACTGGCAGGCAGAATAACAGGAGCAAAGCATTAGAGTACTCAGACAGCTTGTTAAGTATTGTATGTTCTGAAATCTTTTTCTTCATCTTATGTACTACTTAGCTCACCACCTCTATTGGATTCAGATTCCTTTCGAAAGCCATATTAGCCTCAAGTATCAGCTTCATCTAAAAGCTGATCGAGCATTATATGTGTCCTTGTAGGCGTAGTATTTTTCAACGATGTCTCTAATTGATGCACAAGATGCTGAAAATCATTAACGATTAGGGGTGTCATCCCTGAGTAGTATCTAATATTGTTGTAGTGACTCGCCTTTGGGTTTCAACTTCCAGAAACTCCTTATAGGAAAACCATAACTGCATCTTTTACACTTCCAAGTGTTCTAAGAATGTTTGAACTGCTGCAGAGCAGATCTGCCCATTTCTTATCGTGTTGTCTGTTATCTAGGAATCACTTTCATCAATATTTTTACATCTTACTATAACTTTTCAATTTACCTCAGCTGATACACTATTTTGGATGACAACAGGCATGGAAGCACTTTCAGCAAGGAGCAGTAGACGAACTGTTCGATGCAAACTTAATGCTGCATAACTATCATAATGTCGATGTTAAAAAGGAGATTCTAAGGGTTGTTCATGTTGGACTTCTGTGCACCCAAGAGATCCCGTCCCTACGACCATCCATGTCTAAAGCACTACAGATGCTGGTGAAGAAAGAAGAGCACCTTCCTGCACCAACTAATCCCCCTTACGTATGTCTGACCCAGGAACTTAATGACACATGTGAAGACCAATATTTACCACTCGATTACAGCGATCGTGCATCAATCTCTACCGTTACCCATAGTACTTTCTATCCCAGATGAAATAAACATCAATGTTATTCCAAGCAAATGTAGACTACTGAAAAGTTTTGAGTTGTAAGCCTACTGCGTAAATACTAAATACTAGCGATTCTGTTGCAACTATCTGAAAGTAGCAATTTTGGTTTATTAGTTGTTTATTTTAAGTTTTTTGCTCTGTTCTTTTGTTTAAAAATTGA